TGAAGCTCATGTAATAATATCTGGAGATTTTAATCATGTCACCATGGATTTCACTCTGGCTGGTTTATGCCAGGTTGTCAACTGGACAGGATAATCAATTTACTGAACACTAATGTCTTACACCCACGAGTCTTACACTGGTGACACCAGTGTAAGACTCGTGGGTGTTCAGATACTGTGATTCTCCTTTGTAGAATAATCCACAGAAATAATTGAGCTCTTTCTCAGCGTCGAACATTTAATTTATTTTCCGCTACTCAATCAGCTGTCTGTCACCAAACTCAACTGACCTGCACTCAGCTGTTCCCGAACATTCGCTCCTCTCCCCCATCCAGGGAGCCTTTCAAAATAAAACATTTTATATTCTAATAACTCCAATTTTTACGCTTACACATACAAGGCAATTCCCCTTCCCCCACTGGTCACTCATGGGAGCTCATAGGAGTTCTCAGATTCACTAAGACAGTGAATCTGAGACTCACTGTCTCAGATTATCTTAATTTCTGTGTAGACGTGGTGCCGGCCTCAAACCCCTAAGACTGTTCGATGTTACCCAAATAACAAAGCATAGGTAACACAGGGAGTCATGACTGTCCTCAACCCGAAGAAGGCCTACAGAACTAAAGATGAGAAGATAAAGGCAGCATATAGGGAGGTAAAACATTGCCTGAAGAAGGCAAACGACTGCTACAGGAGGAAAGTGGAGCAGAAGCTGAGGGAGAACTGCTTGAGGGATGGGATAGTTTTAAAACCATTACAGTTTTACAAGTACAAAGTGTTCGAAAACTACTAGTTATAACTAGTCCAATATGTTCTACTATTGTTCGTTTTAGCTCAAGGCTTGAGGTAAAACGAAAAATCTTAATGACTCTGTTGTTACAGCATTTGACAGTATAATAACACTTGATGATAAAATTTATAACTGGTGCTACATGTTACAGTTTACTTGAGGAAAGGGGCCATATTAATGACAATTATGGTCTCATGATAGTCACAGTTAAGACTAATAACAAATGACAGAGTAATCTAATAATACACAGAGATATATGACATACTTTAAAAATATCATCTTTGTATTAAAAGTGTCCTCATTTACCAAATGATACTTACTGACAACAGTCAAACATTCATGAAGACTCCTTTATGTTCATGACAGGTGTTATGTCATGTTTATGACAATGTCATGTCAGTCTTATGTACAGCACCCGCTTCACGGCAGACGCTGCACCAATTCGCCTGTCGATCTCCCGCTCCCTTCTTCCGTCATTCGTGAACAAGATCCCCAGATACTTAAACTCCTCCACTTGAAGCAGGACGACCCCCCTGACCCGGAGAAGGCACTCTACCCTTTTCGGGCTCAAGACCACGGCCTCGGATTTGGAGACACTGAGCCTCATCCCAGCCGCTTCACACTCAGCTGCAAACTGCTCCAGCGAGAGCTGCAGATCATGATCTGACGAAGCCAACAGGACCACATTGTCTGCAAAAAGCAGAGATGCGATCCTAAGGCCACCAAAACGGATCCCCTCAACACCTCGGCTGCACCTAGAAATTCTGTCCATGAAAGTAATGAACAGAATCAGTGACAAAGGGCAGCCTTGGCGGAGTCCAACTTTCACCGGAAACGACTTACTGCCGGCAATGCAGACCAGACTCTGACACCGGTCATACAAGGACCTAACAGCCCATATCAAAGAGCCTTGTACCACATACTCCCGGGGAATCCCCCACAAGGCTCCCCTAGGGACACGGTCGAACGCCTTCTCCAAGTCCACAAAACACATGTAGACTGGTTGGGCGAACTCCCATGCACCCTCCAGGACCCTGCTGAGGGTGTAGAGGTGTAGGGATGTTAATGTTTTTTTTATTTTTATTTAATGCTTTAAGTGTCTGATGCATATCTAGAGTACTGTGTGGGATACAGAAATGACCCAAAGGGATTAATAAAGTTTATGTCTGTCTTTCTATATATTCCTTCCAATGATCAGCACTCATCACATTTATATTGTCGGTTGGTAATGTCACCTTAGTCCCACTGCTTTTGAACAGGAACTCATCTGTTTTACTGAGTAGTTGTCTTCCTTCTACTCTTTCATTCATACTAATTTAAGCCTGTGTCTGATGACATAGAACAACATGAGGCTGATTGCTTCTCTTAACACTGACGTGGGTGTGGCAAAATGGCAAAGTCCAATCTTTTGTTATTAGATGATGAGTTTGGGGCATCATCTACTTTGCACCAAACTGGACATGAATGACCTTCATTAACCTCTAAAGAGGCAAATAGAATTATACTGGAATTTGACTCCAGTGTGCCCCATGGAATACTCCAACAGCCATATTTCCCTGATATGTCATCTGTACCAGATTTTTTAAGCATTAAAGGAGCACTGGTACACACATTGGTTCCTTCCACTCAGAGTAGAAACGGAGGATTATTAGGTGACTCCTTCAGCTTCTCCCTGTGTATGACATAAGGTTGAAACTGTATACACTACCCATGAAAACCACACATGATGCATTCAGAAGCCTACAGGAAGACCTCACCAATTATTCACCATGAAACAGGAAATGAGAATAACTTCTGCACAAGATCAGTTTTTAGTGAAACCTTAGAGACTTTTTGCTAGATTCATACTGAACTGGACTGATTGCTATTTTCAAGATTCACCAAATGCTCTGCCAAGGGGACAAGTGAGAGCATTTCCGACAGCGATGGATGGCGAGGCAGGAAAACCTGTAGCCACCACAGTCACAGCGGCTGTTTGCTGCTATAATTATCATTATTATTGCTGACTGATGATCAAAACACTATTTTAGGATCATTTAATATGTTTTCTTCCTTGTTTTGCAGGACTGAATCAAGATGGGCCTACTTATTTTTCTAAAGCTTCTGCAGAACCATTGTGTTTCATAAACAGACAGTTTGCTGTTCTTTGTTTTTGCTTTGAAGAACTGGAAAATACTATCATCACTAGGGGAGCTGCATTTTTATGTGGATCAAAAGAATAATAAATAAAGCTTTCTTTATCATTCTGTGGAAACAGTCCTTCAGAACTGTAATACATCAATTACATAACATTAAGTTCCTCATTAGAGACAAGACAATGTACACAGTGTCATTTATTATGTCCATGGGTAAAGACATTTCTAATTTGACTTTGTGATAGTCTTGGTTGCAGGGACGTCCTCCATGCACTTGAGGATGTACTCAGGCACAGATTAAAAGTAATGAGGCTCTTTCAATGCTTTAATTTTTTTTTTTTTTTTTTTTTTTTACTTTAATGTCATCATTTGCTTCAAATACTGGACTGACAGAACAAAAAACATTAGGGCAGGACTTCTATATTTTGTGACTTGTAGAATGGAATCTGTTAAGGGATAACCGTAGTCTTGTGTCTGAGTGAAAAAAATAAAAAAAAAAAATTCTGACACAGGTATGCAGATTTATTTGGTAGTATTTGTTTCAGATCATTTTGGACAAAACTAAGTGTAAGATTTTTTAAAGTGTGACTCAAAGAATACAATTTATATCTTGTACTTTAGAATTTGAAGTGGTGTAACTGCTGTTTTGTATTTGTGAAAGATTGAAAAACATCCACCATTGCAAAAACTTTTAAAGTTTTTTTTTTTTTCCTGAAAATTAAATTCCTCAGTTACAAGGCAAGGTACAAACGTTTGCACTGAGAATGCCTCCATACTACTGTCCTTGCTGAGCAGCACTCACCGACTCTTTCATTTTTCTGGGTGCAGGTGTCCCTTTGACCACTAGATGTCCTTATTCAATCAGTTTTCGCTTGACAGATGCTGCTTCGGGGGTAGTGTGAAGTGGGTGGGGGGAGTGAGGGAAGGAAAGGAGGTTCTACTGTTGTCCGTGGCTCGGACCAAAGCGGAGTCAGGGTGTTAACCACGCCCCTCTCATGAATAATACACCTCCCGTTGAACAGGAGGAGGCTAGTGCCAGAAGGAAATCTCCAGACGTCAGCGCTTGCTCACTCGTGGACGGAGATTTTCGATCATAATATCACCATCCGTGAAGGATAAGGGCACTCTTATTTCCGGTGATGAAATGGGCGTAGGAAGACACTGGAATCCGCCTTATGTACTTCGACTCCGCTGGTTTCCGCCGGGTATTTACGGAGGAGGACACACTAAGGGGTGGAAATTAGCACAGACGGCCGTGACCAACATATTATCTACCAGTCAGACGTTGTTTTTATCGCACGTGTATTGAGGAAAAACATTAGTTGAGGTGGGTTTACTGTATCTTCAAGGGTTTATTTCAGTGTGTGTGCGTTGTGTGAAACCCATGTGTGACCGAAGGAAGGATGTTATTGTAAAGAGCTTTGTGCTTGTGCTTTATCATTGAGCGTCCGCGTTTGTACGTGCATGTTCGTGTGAACAAATCCTACGCCATCACATCTTTCAAATTCATCAAAACGAAATGCGCTCAAGCCTTTGTAATAATTATATTCAAATCAAAAATTATAAGTGAACTGAGGTTGATACAGATGGATGTCTGGATGTTTAATTTGAGATCAGTAATATTGCTTGTGTTGATGAATGTTATGGTAGTCACTTTGTGCTTACCTCAGCAGATCAGTGCTGAATGACCACAGGGAGTTCATATCCCTTTAAAATGTGAAATGAATACATGAAGATAATGCAAGTATTTCCATATGCTGTCCGTGATGCTAGAGTCTCTTTTCTGTGACATGGTGCCTGTAGTGTGCGACTGTTTCACTTGTAGTTGTAAAAAAAAAAAAACAACAACAACACTGTAGTTCTGATAAGACTGGAAATAGACTAATGGTGTATTGGGCTGGATGTTTGTGAGGCAGCTGGAGATTTACAATTGTTTTGACAGGAAACACCAATCCTTTGTTTGGATACTGCAAGAATAATGTTCACACTTTGGAACATTTCTGGCACTGTTGAATTTCACAGTGTAAGTAATATGAACCTGAATTCATATTAAGTTCTTATTATATATCATGCTCATGGAGAATCTAATACCACATGAACAAATTGTTTATTGAGGTCCTTTGTATTCCCCGCCTTGTCTTGCTAGACAGTAGTAATGCAAATGGATGTAATCCCGTAGTAATCTCCTTTATCCTGTACTTCATTGTTGGGGTTTAACCCTGCTTCAGTTAACTTCCCCCCAAATATCCCTTTGTCTAGTATTAGTTTAATTAGATGACTCACAACCCCGTACCCCCCTAGAACAAATGGACAGACTGCAATACCTGTTATGTTGACTTGATTGTGTGCTGTCCTTTCAGTTGAGTTCACATGTGTAGTCTGAAAGCCGTTTTTAAGTAGAAAACTGGCAATTTATTGGCAGCTACACAGTGGTACATTGATACACAGTTCAGTCTGATTTATATGTAATACAAGACAATCCCCTTGAGTTCATAGTTCCCCCTGGTCAGAAGTTATCTTTGTTAGGAAGCACACCAACTGCAGCAGCATGCCATCGACCTTGCAGCAACCTCTCTTTCTGACTGTGAAAGTGCAAACTAGTCCCTCTTAAAAGGACGGAATGGTGTGTGTGGCCATATATCCATAGGGTCAGCTGTTGCTGATTGGGACTGTACTTTACCCCAGGCACAACTGGGGTAAATTTGATGCTCCTTAGAACAAGTGTGGGAGTTGTGGGAATTTATTTCCAAGATTTAAGTTAACTTTATGGTTATTCATTCCAACACCAAACAATTCGAACAACATGTTCCATTCAATTTCAGTCCAATTCGGTTTATTGTTGTAGTGCCAATTTACCACTGATGTCATCACAATGCACTTTACAAAAATGGGTTACCAATGCTGTAAACACACCCAAAACATTATAGAGATTCTGGTACTGGTACCATGTTTTATACTTCTCTGTATATTCCGACTGTTTTTTTTTTCTAACAAAAAGTAGTTTGCATTTGCTTGTAAAAATAAAGCATCTGTTTTTAATTTTTCACTCACTTTTTAACTGTTGTTTAAAACAAATCTATATTATTTATTTATAGCACATTTACTACCCAGTACAGATAATCTGGTGATGATAGTTACAAGAAATGTCCAAATAAATCACATATGTATGTATTAGTACTCTTCCAAGAAAAAGAGAGATTTGGAGGAAGTATTTGCCAAACAATTTCTGTGTGTTGATGCAGAATTTATATAAATTGATGTAAGTTAAGGTTAAGGGTGGGGCCAAAAAAACATGTAGTTTCAGGGTGGCACATAGGCCAGCAATAGAACATGCACCCCCATATGGGAAGCCTAGTCTGGGGTTGCAGTCCTGACCTCAGGGCATTTGATAAACATGTATTTCCCCATTCTCTCTCTGCTACTTTCACATCTAAATAGGGGTCCGCTGATCACTCAGCTGGCTGATAAATTGGCCACGATCTCCTCAGTTTTGGGAGATGGGTCATCGGCTGATACTTGTGAAACCGATCTTATTTACCGCAGCAAAGATTTAAATATCAACCACTGCACTCTTTTGCTCTGGCATGAGAGAGGTTTGATTGACAGACCCAGCCACCAGGTCATGTCTGCACATTTGTAGTTAACAATAGCAGTGTTGTGGTACTCGAAATTGGTCTTGGTCTCGAGACCGGTCTTAAGACCATTTTTTGATGGTCTCGGTCTCGTC